ACCTCAAAGCGAAATGTCATAATCAGATTTAGAGGTGGAAGCGTGAATAACCATTTCGTGTATGTTATGATGAAACAATAATAAAGACTTACAGTCAGTTGTGAACCGAATCATTATTGAACTCAATAGCAAGTTCGGATTATTGTGAACAAACCTCGTTAATCCGAAGATGCCGTGAATCCGACCTTAAACCTCGGTCCCGTTGACTTCGGATTAACGAGGTTGACTATGTATTAAGTCAAATCTATTTATTTCTTAATCCAAATTTTTGTCAACTCCAAGCTTATGCTGTTTATTATATATATAATAGATTCCCCCCTTTCTTACAACATTATGTTATAAGCAAAATGTTATTAATTACATACTGTACAGTATTATTAGGCAGTCGACTGAAATATTATACTGCACGTATATTTTTTATAAACACGTGTATATCAATTTGTGAACGCAATGGGCTGGGCTGGCTAATATGAACCCCATTATCTTTATTATGGCTACCGATAATACGGTCGTAATTACATTAGCCATTATGCATACGAATCATCACGATCACTACATGTCTAAACGAATAGTCCCCGACAATAACTTTCGCGTATTCCTAAAAAGCCTAACCCAACGAGTATAAAATTGGCGTTATATCGAATCATACTAGTTCAGCGATTAAATTATTAACTCTTTGCTAGGCGTTGAGTGTAACCCAGTTGCATCGGAATATAAGCAACTCATAGGCTAAACGATATCACTACTTGACACCAGAGCCAACTTTTGGTTCAGTAAAGTATACAGCAATACCACTTGTAAACACGCAAAGGTTGATGAGGAAAGTTAAGAGTCGAATAGCTCGTAAGAGAAATTCTATCACTCAACATGAGTCGCACCCAGGCGAGACGTTATCCATACTCGGAGGTTAGTGATGATGACAACGTACATTACTTCTTCAATAGATAAATTCCGGCGAATGTCAAATCGTTTCATTGTATCTAAACGTAGATAGAAATAGTTTCGTTCGCTAGATCATAATCGTAATTCACCATTCTAAACATTATAGTGTCGCCCATTACACTCCATCATAGGCCTTGACCTCTTTGTGTTTGTTGAAAAAGTTATTAAATGTTCGCCACGAAGAAAACATAGTAAAACAACTACGTTACGAGCCGGCGGAAAGACTCGCCCCATTTTGATACAAATAATAATATTAGCACAATGTTTTTAACTCTCATTCCTTTCTCAGCGAATAATTTCGTCGTCGTATCGTAGTTAACTGTGTTCAGCAAATGCCTCGCTCGTTATATCATAAATTATCTTCAGCGAATGGAGTAAATTGTCGTAAGCTTTTTTAGCATTTACATTGCCACATTGTATAATAATAAATATTATAAGTTTGAGTAATAACCGGTTTCACAATAGACTCTTCGAATAAATTGTCGCTGTTATAAGAGTCGTCAATGACAATTCATAAATTTGCATTATGTCCTTTCGTTCGAACGTATCACTTTCAATAAAGGATTATAGGCTTTATGGTACGATGTTTTTGGGGAACGGTTGGCTTTCATTCAACGATAAGTGAACTAGAGTTAAACACCACTCCTTGAGCATAAGCTGTGAGCATACAAGCTGAGTTTGCGAGTCGGAAAAAGATTGCTTTTCTAACCTACCACAGTAATTAATAATCCAGTAAAATTTAGTGAGGAATAACCCAAGCATTCAAGTTGCTTTGCTAATACTACTTAATAAGGATGTGCTCAAAGGCTCTAACGTTCTGGTTCAAGACTAATGCAGAGAAACAAATGTCACCAAATTTAATAAAGTATTCCAGATACTAATACTGTTATACGTAGGTGATTAAAAAAATTTTTTGTCACTCGCCTCTGGTTGATAAACTCGAATTTCAATCTTCAAACTAAACCAAATTTAGTTTTTAAAATAAATAGTTGTTGAATTGATGAAATCTTGCAGCATAAAGCACTAAGAGTTGAACAGCTGGTTAAAACTTTCAATGGTAGAGACTGCTTGGAAGATAACCTTTGATTCAGAAGACCATTGTGAAGTAAGTTTAGAAAGTGTCGAAAATATCCACAATATGCGTAATAAGATGCTCATAAAAGAACATAACAGCAAGTCAGGTTTAGATCAAATTCTACCTTTTTTTGTCAAAGATACCAAGAAAGAGAAGTGTGGTGATGCTACATCATGACAAAGCTGTGCCTCGTCACACATCTAAGAGTTATAGAATTTTCAAAGTGAGAACAATCAAGTATTGTCTCGTCTAATATAACATTTTTTATTTCAAAAATTATATAACAGTATTTCAAGTCTGTTAGAACCCTTCAAACAGTTTTCTTTTATAAAGAAACAACATAAGCGTTTGAAAGTTGGTGGACAAAAATGTATCAATGTAAGAAAAAAACTATGTTGAAGAAATAGTCTTAAAGTTATTTTCGAAATAAAGCCAAGCGGTAAGAGCTTTTTGAACTACTCTCGTAATAAATTTCATGAGCTTAATGAGACGCCATTGTGAGTTTGTTGTGAAAGTTTGTGGGCAGAGAATCTTTTATTATAAGTTTATTGGTTTAGCTTTCGAATAAGCTACAAATTCTGTAATTCGGTTCATTCGTTGGGACACGACGGATAATTGGAAGGCGGTTTTTGTGGGGTTGCCAAGAAATCGCAGCTCTTATCAGTATTTGCTTTCTGGAGCACTTGGGCTGTTTATGCGTACAGACTATACGCGTGATGACTTCTTTAGTATTAAGCCATTGTGTCCTTTAAATGCATCGCTGACGGCTGTGGTGACCAAGGACAAATTTGAAATTTCCCCTGAATGTTGCGTTCTTAATATAGAACTCCTATCCCTGCAGGAGAATTCATTATAATTCCGGTTGTTATATCGGATCCAACAATTTTCATATTAATATTAATATTAATTTTAATTTTCAATCTGTGTAACAAGCAGGGCGGAGCTAAAAAAAACTTTGGTGTTAAATATTTGCCAATTAAAAAATGTACCAATACTCTAAATTTAACGTGTACGTCCTACATCATTATGCCACATCTCATTTACGATAATCATAGTAACGGAATACGCAGTAATTCTTACGTCTTTTAAACAAACCAGGCTTGAAAATTGCTAACAAGATCGCAGTTTGTAGATACGGTATATGATTTAGCTATCGTCATGAAGTTGGTTGCTTGTATTCCCGAACAACAGCAAAGAAAGTAAAGTAAATATTAATATCATTTCGTTAGTATCGGCCAATTAATTCACATTCATAAATGTTCCAAGCTCGAATGCAATTTTCGTATGTCATCATGGCTATATGAAATATGTATATTCCCCCCTTCTTTATTATTTAATGTTGAAATGGATGAGACTTTCTTGTCATGCAATTATATTATAAACACATTCGATTAATTTATGTTCGCTTTCCTGTTTTTGATATTATCTCTAAAAATGATGATATAGTATACACAGTAGAGAAGCCATCGCTAAATTAAATACCAATACAAAATTGTACAAGCCGTAACAAAGTGCACCAAAAGACTCAGTCTAGTCTATCCGTCATAATCCAACTGGTAGACGCTTACTGGTCAATAAACAAGAGATCATGTTCGTTGATGATATTGGCTTACCGAATACTCCCACGCAGAGTCACCACGCAAATCAATCTCTCCGTCTTCATCCCAATCCTCTCTCGTCTTCCGGAATCTATACACCACCATAAACAAGCCACCAACAACGATAACTCCTGCAACCACTGCACCAGCGATAATAAGCGTCTTAGTGGTATTACCGGCATTTGACGTATCACCATTTCCATTCGCTCCGTTCTGATCATTACTACTAATTGTAGTAGTTAAAGGAGGAGGGGGAGGAGGATACGAAGTCGTAGGAGATTGAAAGGTAGTGGAAAAAGATGTTACTGTAACTACTGAAGAGCTCGAAAGTATAGTGATTGTTGTAACAGAGTTAATTTGAGGAGGAGGTCCTTGTATTTGGGGCATTGGATCCGGTATTGGGTCCGCGACATCTTCATTTATTAACAATAATGACAGTAGCAGAACCAGCAAAAGTTGAGAAATTTTCATCTTGGTCAAATCGTTTCTTGATTATTGAATGGTTCCGTCGTAAAAAGGCAGTTCTGAAGATTGATAGGGAATGAATTAATAAACAAGGTTAATAATTGAATTCTCAACAACAATCCATTATCTTTCCATTGTTCGTTAATTTCACTGCCTTTTCAAACTGTCAAAGACAAAAGCGTAAAGTCTCCCACTGTTATTGTCCTCGCCGGACATAACGTAAACCCGCAGTTTTAACCCATGTTCAACACAAACGCCCTCGTCAACACTAATATTTTAAGTTCTTACTTGTCAAATACCACCCAAAGTTGTTATGCGTGTAGCTTTAAAACGGTTCCCTGCCGTTCGAGTTGTATAGCTAGCTCGCTTTATACTTGAGACTTTTTCTCCAAACTATTTCGAATTAAGTTAATCTTATCAATACGGCATCAAATCCAAAGCTGCTGGGAAATATCAGAATTTCGCCGTTATCCAAGTAAGACCTGCCTCGCTGTTATTTTTTGTCCGGCGTGATATTAACGTTTAAGAGGAACTGTTCGTCCAAGTAATTATCTTGGATAGAAAAGAGAGGAAAATCTCCTTCAGCCCAATTTAGCAATCTGATACCCATTTATCCAATTGCGATTGGTCATGACACAATAAATAGAAAAAGTATTTTTGGCCACTAGTACATTCCAAGACTTGTCTCTGTATATCGATGTGGTAATGCGGGCTGTTAAACGATGATAATCCTTTTGTGATAAAAATACCAGGTAATTTCTCATTGGGCCATTATGACATAAACAAAACTTTCAAAATTCGGCTATGCAATTAATCTAACCAAATTAGGTTGTATATTCTGTACGACATGCTCACTTAGCACTAGCGCCCCTGAGTACACGTAACTCGAATTAAACTGTAACTTTCCCCTTATTATTATCTCTAATATTATTATCTCCAAACTCAGACCTAACAGATGCAAACGGACACAATCATCACAACTGTACAGCCAAAAAAACTCAACCTTCCCTCGTCTTCAGACTCCCTTTCGCCTTTTACACTTGGATCAACGCCGCATGTTTCCTCCTCCACTCCCAACTCGCCACCAACTCATCCACACCGTCAACGACGACGTTCAAATACTTTCTCCGGCAGGTCGAAAAAGGATTCTCACATTATCGAGCAGATAGATCCTTTCCTTCTCGTGTCTCTTCGCAACATTCAAGCACTGCCTAGACCCGAGTGGATTGGCTTGTTATATGTGCTAGCGTTCTTGGATGTAGCTGCTGTTTCGGCATGTACTGCTGCATTAGTGTTGGCAAGATCACATCCTTCTGAGCCTTGGAAATGGCAGAATGGAAGTTGGGACTTGTTTGCGTTGGGTGAATTGCGAGCGTTGATTGTTATTATTGTTGCGTCTTCGACTAGGATTCGAAATCTTGGATGGATAGTTGGTGGTATATGTGGGGTTAGTATTTTTATTTTAATTTCGATCAAAGCATAATACAAACTTCTGTATAACACAAATTGTCTACTTAGAGAGTTTGAAAATAGTGACGATGAAGTTACTTATACACTTTCCATATACTGTTGATAGGTCTCTACTCTATACGCGATATTCAAATTCAATCTTCTCCTCCAATCTAAACGTGAAACGCATGGCTTGCAATGCGCCATCCTTATTAGTACATTGGTTTTTTCTCAACTACACTGGATCACGTATGCTATATTAACGGCGGATACTAGACGACGGGATCGATTGTTGAAGCTGAGTGGTATAGATTTTGAGGAAGAACGGAGAGACAATGAAGAGAGAATCGCTGAAATTAGCGACGATGAAGGCCGAGGTCTGTTGACTGTAACAGCTGATTTGCCGCCACCCGCTATTCCCCGTAATTATGGATCAACTGACGTCGGGAATAATAAATCGGACATCGATCACACATTTGATGCTGCATGAGACCGAATTTACTAATGCTAATGCTGGCATTTGCAACATAAGATGCTATCAATATTACTCCCTAATACGAGTTACGTGTATCATCAGCAGGCGTTGAGCGATGGGCAAAGCGTTTGCTATAGCCGTCTCATATGTAAATAGTCTCCTGTAACCAAAAATAGTTTAAGCCTACTTAGTTTAGGGTATTATTTTAACCTTGTATAAGATATTTATGACACTCAAAACGCCACACAGTGTCACATCTCATGACGTGTTGTATAAATAATTGAGAGGTAATCCACAATCTTTTTACGTCCGCACGAGTCTTAATTTATTAACACAGTGGACGTATCTATTATAATTTTGGAACGTTTGTTTATCTTCGAGAGCTCATAATACATTCGTGAATAAAGATAAACCCCAATTTTCAAATATTACGTTCTACTTTACGCAGCATTGCTATCAAATTCATCCCGAAGAGTTTTTGTACGCAATCGAGGATGTCGTAGAAGCAATTATGTTAGTCATTCTATCCCACGTTTTGATTATGTCCTACGGAAAGATTCAAACTCCGTGATGAATAGAATTTTATTGCCGTAAATATGAAGAAGTTACATATATGCTTTGGTTTTTGCAGGGTCTGGCGTATGCGACTACTTTGTCCTTGATAACTAGTCCGTATATCTAAGTAATGCAACCAATTTCTTCTAGCTAATTAAATATCTAATTTCTGTTTCTTGTCTCCAAGATTGGGTAACAGTATTATATACTGTAATAAAGCAAGAAAGTGGACGCGTCATTGTGTATGGTGATACCTTAAACGAAGCTTCTCGAATATTTTATCGCATACGTTGGCTTAATTGGTCTTGTGTTTCTAGCATATTTTTTCGTCAATTATTTCTAAAATTTGGCCATCAATATCTTTTATTTATGCTAAACAATTGAAACTCTCCGCTAGTTTCAAAGCTATTGTAACAGTAATAATTAATTAAAATCTTTCCGTGTCAAAGCCATTGTAAACAGAACATAATGACTAATTAATATTCGAACGTAATGATTATATGGGGCAGACTGCAACAAAACCAGACAAAGTGAACATTTGATCATGTGAGCTACAAAAGGCTGATGTGGCTGGAAAATAAACTAATTTAGCTGATAAAATTTTGAAGCAACAAAAAAACTTGGAATATCATCACATACATTGCGTCGTTTGTCTGAGGCTTTGCTTAATTTATAATTGTGGCTCATGTACAAATCCAGACTAATTTTTAGTGGCGTTTTAAACTTATTGCTAACTCTAAGTGAATGCTACTAGCATCCAGATATAAAAGCAAGTGAATTCACATTCACCAAAACACGTGTTCTAAAATTACACAAAAAAGACTGCACATTTTTTTCTAATCGCAAGCAAACAATCTGCACTATCCAAAAGCTTTTATTCAATAAAGATGGTTCGTTATATTCATCTTCTGACAAGAGCCTGCATGCAGCAAATAATGCTAACTAATTTCCATTCACAGACAAAATTGCAGAAGTTGTTATGCTTTTGCTTTTCCTTGCTTGGGTGTTCACTAGCAAGATCAACTCGCATGCAATTTTTACCATTGCATGCTTTCTTTTGTACATCAATAACCGCAACAAACTGCTGCACATAATGTGGTGCTTGACAAACTCAATGCTATTGATAGTGTCACCGGTTTTCTTCGCGAGGCGGCTGCGTCCCCTCAGGTATCGATGCTTAGTGATGAGGCCACCGACTTAGCCAACTTTATTATCTTATTCTGATCTCTATTCTTTAATATTTCACTTAACTTCTAATCCTTTTTCTAGGCGAATGATTTCACGAATAATTTCACTATTGCTAGACGAATGATTTTACTATTGCTAGACAAATGATTATGTCACTTGTCGCAGACTTACAATGGGTTCACATCTCGAATATATCTGAGGCAAAGGATATATTCTCCATCGGACTTTCT